ATTTAGGGATTTTTCCTAGACGGCAATATTTTGTTTTAGTGGTTGAAATACGGCCGCTCATAATCATCTTACTAATATTATAAATATGAAAGTTCAGATGGATGTTTGGATGTTTGTTACTCAATCAGAACGGATCTGGATAAAAGGCACAGAGATAGATTATTATATATTATAGTCTGGAATAGCACATAGCTACTTTTTATTCCAGAAAAAAAAACGGTTCCCGCGGGATAGATTTGTTTTTGTTTTTCATATAAAACTTGTTTTTGTTTTACATATAAAAATCTAACTGTTTCCAACTTTGTCTCTATTAATAACGCTCGTAAAAAGCTACTAAACGGAAAAAAAGAAAATCGGTTGACAAACAGTTTCTTGAATTATTTTTTTTCAAAAATCTAATTTTTGTTTTAAATAGTTTATCCTATAAATGGGAATTAAATAGTATCGAGTTGATTGAATTATGGCTTAAGTTAGCTAAATAAGCTTTGTCCATTAGAGTAGATGACTTGCAGGGTGAGATTGACGTTTTAAATCTCGGCAATATGGACGTTGAAATTGAAGAGCGAAATAATTGAACGAGATATTATCATCAATATTGCCACGGCCAAAACGTTATTGGATTTTTTTTAATCATTGGAATGTGAACAAAGAGTGGCTACATTGTGGATAATTGTTGATGTATGGATCATAAAAAGGTTGGTGTGAAACTTCCACAGATCCAGATAGCTAAAGATACATATTTCCGAGGGCTGCAGTTCAACGATATGTTTATTAAGAGTTTAATTCAGCCTTGAGATACAGTCTTTTATAAAAAGTTATTTCGGGATGGGTCACTAAATATGTATAATGTATAGAAACAAATCTGGACGATTAAGGATTATAGCGTGAAGGTATGTATATGTAAACTAGAGAATCACTAAAACTTAATTATTACGCTAAAGTTGCTAGGCCCAAAACTTTCACGCAAGATAACACGCTTGACGTGTTAATTGAGTCTCGCTTAGGGCAGGTAAGTCATAACATTGATTTTAGTTGATTATTGTTATTGTATAATCCGACCACTGTGTAATTTACCCCAAATTTAAAGTTATTATATCTATATACACATATCACATTACAATCTGTCTACTGGTATAATATATCTAACACTAGCATTGCCCGCGGCTCCGCCCGCGTTCAGATGACCAAAAACTAAATTCTTAGGTGTTACATATTAGTATACTCTTACATTGCAGTTTTTGTATTTTTCCTCAGAAATAAGATATTTTCCCGCGGTAAAAAGTATCCTAGGATCGCGCGCTACATCGCCCGGTTTATATAGCTTGAGCAGGCGGTCGAGCGATGCGGGGCAGAGGGGATGGACTCGCCGTAGGCATCTCAATGCTCGCCAAGCATTAAAAATGTTTCGCTACTAATTACTTCTAACAACGATATCTCAAAAACTATTCATCTGATTGATTTAGTGTAAAGAGCAATTTTAATCTGCATTAAATGACTAAGCTAACTAAAATATTCATTTGGATAAGGATTAATACCGAACTAAAGAAAATAACTTTGAAAATAACGTAATGTTTTTAATTAAAAATGTTAACATAAAAGTGGTTATTGTAAGTCAACCGTAAGAGATAGAGATATGCTATCGCGGACTTTTTTGTAGCATTTTTATAGATTTTGAATTCTCTAGTACATTACTTAACTGTATCTTTGCTAGTTTACGCGGCGTTCGCGTGGAAAGTTCCCATTTGGCGAGATTTTTTGCGACCTCTTCAACATTTGTCGCCGTATTTCAGCTAATTTACATAAAAGCATAATAAATTATATACCTAAACCTTCCTCAAGAATTACTCTTTCTATTGTTGAAAACCGTATAAAAATCCGTTCAGTAGTTTTCGAGTTTATCGCGTACAGACAGACAGGAGGACAGACAGGAGGACAGAAAGACGCGGCCGGGGGACTTATTTTTATAATAAGTATAGATATAATAAAATTGTAACTAAGTCAAATCTGTCCATTAGATATTTTTTGGAAAATCTTATTGAAATAAACACTATTATCGATACAGAGGCCGAATCTATAGTTTTTAGAATTTTTGTCTGCCTGGTACCGCATTACAGAAAAACCACTGGAGGGATTTTTATGAAATTTGGTATGGTGATAGCTTTTTATTCAGGTCATCATATATGATACTTTTCACCGCGGGAAAATATCTCATTTCTGAGAAAAGATACAAAAACTGCAATGTAAGTGTATACTAATATGTAAAACCTAAGAAATTTGGTTTTTGGTTACCTAAACGCGGGCGGAGCCGCGGGCAATATATATATATATCGAGGGTATTCTGGCAGAACCAATTAAGTGCAAAAATTTAAAAAAATTAGTTAGAAACATAGAATACTTAGTTTTCGACGCATTTTTTATCTGGCAAAACCATATAACTGCCGATGCTTTCACAACGGTTTTTTCCTCTGGGTAAAGAAAATAACTAGCATTTTTTTTCCATAAATTTAAAAGCAAAAAGTGATATGGACTCTTAAAAAACAAAATAAAAAGTTTATTCCAGTGACAACGGAATAAAACAATTTACTTTCTTTACCCACAAAAACACTTATCGATAATTGTATTTTATATTATCAGGTAAAACAAAATATCGGATCATATATTTTGTTTCTCATTGTTAAAATGAACTGAGTTCTTTGTTTTATTGACAGGCAGAACAGAATAAGCGAGTTTGTTTTGTTTTGCATAATACAAGTAATGCAATTTGATCTCTTCTATAGAGATATGTGGCTTACTTAGTCTGTTTTGCTTGATAACGTTTGTATATTACTGTCAGTTAAAAGTCGTCGCGTGCGCACGTGTTTATTTCATCGAGATCTCAAAAAGGGCATATCCAGAGGAAAAGTGTTTTTAATGCAGAAAAGGAAAAAGACAAGGAAAGTTCCTTTCGGTTTCGTTCGACCTGCAGGCTGTACTTCAGATCCCTCACTGTAAAGTGAGCCTGTTGTATTATTCTCGAGCTGTGGGTGTTTAATCTCACTTTTATGAAGCAGGTTTGTGCAATAATGCGTACTGTTTTCTATGGTCCTAACTGAACGGTAAAAAAGGTAGCTGCGGAATTGGAACGATTTAATTACATTTAACATTTAACTAATTGTATTCCAGCAAATGTAACTGAAATAAGCCTATTTCCGATACTTGCTCAGGTCAAAATAGGAATCGATATGTGGCAGCAATTCTTTTGTGGGCTGTTCAGAATATTGAAGATTTACAGATTATAAAGCAAAATTTTTTAGAATCCGGACATACTTACATGGAGGCCGATTCTATGCATAGCGCTATTGAATCACAAAAGTAAGAAACATCAGTATATTCAATGCAAGACTGGATTTCAATATGCGAACGTGCAAGGCGTAGGAAAGCAGATACTGCTCAACAGAAGAAGATAGTCAAGGAGCCATACAAAATAAAAGAGTTTAAATACCATGGGTTTTATGATTTAAAAGATCTGGCTTGTTATTCGTAACAAAGATAAGGACACGGAAGGAAATTGCTTAAAATCATTGGCTTAAAATCCAACGTCTTAGTTTGTAAAGGGGGAGAAAAGAATTTACTTCAGTTATGACATGAGTGAGACTTTTAATTACATTGACGTTACCGGTAAAGAAGGAAAAACTAGAGCAACACGAACAAAAAGAAAGGAACAGGATGAATAACCAACAAATTAAAAAAAATGTATAAAAAATCATTACCTATATCCAAAGCAAAAGAAAAAGGATTTACCAAATTTTGTTAAAAAAAATATATAATACCAGAAGAATGGTAATCGGTAATTGCCTTGGTATAAAAATCTGAAGACGGTTAGAATTCCTGAAAAGGCTGAAGAAGAGGATGATAGAAGAGTTGATCTTGGGAAGAAACTATTACGTAATTTCCTTTACTCGTATTTTTTCTTAATATCTTTTCTATTTTCTGTATAGGATTAAACTGTTTAAATTTAAAAAAGCTTGCAATAAATAAAAAAAATATCGCCTATTTGTTTTTTTAATGCAGTAATTCCCAAAAAAATACAGGTAGAAACAGATAACTGAGAAAAAAATTATTCTACCGCCTTAATTGGAATATTATTTCAATTAATTTTAACATCAACTTATTTAATACGGGACAGTGAACTGTTCCTAAAATAGTAGGTAAAGATTAATATGCGTTTAAGAGACTTACAGCTTATTTATGTATTTCAGGTAAAACAAAATAACTGCAATACCTTCACGCCAACTTTTCCCATTTTTTAGCTTTTTATGGCAATTATTGCATAAATTAATATATCGAAACAATCTTAGATAATGTATCTAAGTACTAGTAGTAAAAAATTTCTGTAACTATGCTTCGTCGTTGACTTATGATCATCCAAAACTTTAAATGCGTATATCTCAATATAACAGTATCGCTACTTATTTGGTTCTCCCAGAATACCCTCGATATATTATTTGTATGTATGTATGCTTGTTACTTCTTCGCGCTAAAAGCTAACAGCTGGACGAAATTGGATGAGATTTAGAAGAAGACCATATAGAGTATAACATAGAGTAACATAGTTATTGTTAGTAATGAAATTTGTTAAAAGATGGTGCTACATTAATAGAATATTTCATAATAATTATATTTGTATATTTAAAATTTTTGATTTCTACTTATTATGTTTAAATTAGAGTATAAATAAGGACAATAATAAATGGATTACAGTCGGAATCATTTTTTGGTGGTGTTCCATTCCCGTGCCTAAGGACGTAAAGCCGTCGGTCATGCACCTTAACTCTTACCCGTCATATTGATGTATCGTCCTGCCGGAGTATCAGAGTGACAGGAATAGAGAGTGCACGTTGTGTCTGTGCGTACACTTGTGCACTATAATACACAACACACAACACAGTTGGCTAATCTCAATGAGATTGGACGCCGTGGCCGGAATCGGTCAGTAGGTTATTATTATTATTTTTTCTTACCAGCGATAACAAGGACATCGATGAGAGCAAGTATGGCGAGGCTCGCAACGCTGGTCGGTTCGTCCCAGCGCACATCTTCTAAGAGCGCTGCGCAAGCGGTCTCGTTTAGCGAGCGCATATTACGCGCCCGCGGAACTCGCGTGCGCAACACATCGCCTGACAGCTTATGCCATTGAGATGGATCAGGCTCTCTGGAAAGGAAATTTTATTGGTTAATTATTGCAAATTCTATAAAATATATAAACCAAAAGAGTGTCAAAACCATCTTGAAACCAATATGGACAGGGCCGGATTTTACCTTAGTGTCGCCCCTGGGCACAGTAAAAAATGCCGCCCTATTATCGAAATTTTGCATAAAATGGGTAAAGTTTCGATAGAGCTTAAATATTTTTAATTATTAATATTTTGAAAAATACAAAAAATAATTTATAAATAATATCAATTTTTCGGAGTGTGTACCTACTAATACTTTTTTATCATTTTAAATAAATTTAAATTGTCAAATATTCCATCCATTTTTGATTTTTTTAAATCATTTGGGAACCAAAAATCAAAATAAAACCGCGACATAATCCGTGAAGAATGTACCTACTTTACTACATACCTACATTTTTTATTTTTAGTTAATTTTTGTTTCCTCCGAATTTTGCCGCCCCTAAAAATTTGCCGCCCTGGGCACTAGCCCCGAGTGCCCCTAGGGTAAATCCAGGGCTAAATATGGACGCCAATATGGAAATTAGAGAATTACCCCATGTACGGTGTATGTACTTAACAGAAGCCTATGTTACCTAGGTCGTAATCTATCTGACCTTGTCGTGGATGGGGTGGGGGGTGTGGGGGGGCTTATTAGCGTTTTTGTGTCATTTATATTTTGTCATTGCTGTGGTCTTTATCGGCAGACCTGCCGTCGGCGATAACACTTCGTATGAAACCTACCTTTTTAGATTTTTTTTTAAGTTTTGTGGGAACGAAGCCGCGGGCTCTGCTAGTTTCTTATATTTTTAAATAATTTTCTATTACCGATGTCCATTGTAGAATAGCAACATAAAATAGAACTTTAGATATCTAAAATTTATAGCTATTTCGATTCATTCCAACTATAAAAGAATAATTAAAACATACCTCCAAACAACATTTCATATCAAAAACGTTCCATTTAAACTAAAGCCGCTCGCAGCGGACACTAAATCCCACATAATCTTATAAACCTATTTAAAATTCCGCTTCTACATTTTTATAGGCAAAATCTTACAATTTTCAAGAGAAACAATACATTTGTTGATTTACTTTTGTACCATTGTAGCTGTTATTAAAGAACAACACTAAAGACGCTGGTAAGAAATGAGCTTTCTGAAATTATCTTCTTTTAAACACATAGAGTGCGCTTAATTAGTTATATACGAGTAATATTTAAAAGAATATATAATATTATGTATATTTTAAATAAAAGTACCTGTTCGGGTTTTTGGATTTTTTTATTTTTGTTTGGTTCTTGGGTACCAAAAATCAAAATAAATCCAAGAAAATATCCGAAAAGATAGTTTTATTTAAAATGTCAAATATTCGCGTAAATGTAAGAAAGTATTAAAAGAATACATGTATATACTAAAATATAATTAAAATTATAAAAATATTTAAAGTTATAAAATATTGTTATTTGTGGGTAGGCTGTCTGTAACAACTATACCTTCTAGATATCTAACACCTCAGTCTCTCCCGTGACCATGATTGCTGTAAAGCATTCGAAACGTCGAGAACCAAAAATCAAAATAAATCCGCGAAATAATCTGAAAAGATAGTTTTATTTAAAAAGTTTCATTTCAATCGATCAAATAATTTGGTAATACTTATGTTTCTAATCATCGTGAGGAAACCTGCATGTCTGAGAAAACCTAACATGTTTTTCGAAATCTTGCTAGGTTTTCTCAATCCGCACTTGGCCATCGTGGTGGACTATAATCTGATCCCCCTCGTACTGAAGGGAGGCCCGTGCCCAGCAGTGGGACGTTAAAAAGGGCTTTCCTTCACCGTATTAAATGTTCATTTTAAATGTTTTCTAACACCCACTTAATCTAAGTGACCCACCGAATAATTAACATTAGAGGTGTTAATCGAACGTTTCACCTTAACCTAATAGATTTAGTATTCGAGCTTAATTTGGAAGATATTTACTATTAGTATTTTGCCTGTCGTCCGGAACCGAACCTATTATCCCAAAACAAGGGTCTATTCCAATTAAGATAATGAAAGTTTATCCGTTATTCACTACCTCGTGATATTTATAGGTTAATTATACTATTACAGCAGATGTACTCGGTGTTCGCTTGAAAAACAAATGAAGCGGGTTCAAATCCCAGTTTTTGCACCTCTGACCATGACTATTACTTATATAGTAAAAGAAAATATTATATCAAAACCTGTAGGTCTGAGAAAACTTAAATAGTTTTCAAAATAAAATCATTAAATTGGCTCTCCTGTAAAGTTAAGAAAATGTCGCTTAAACCAAATAAATGGCCTTTTACCCGTCGATATAAAGTCCAACTATTTCACCTCTGCTTGTCAACCGATTAACCTTTTTTGTTTAGTATCTATTGCCGAGCAAAAAAAAAAGACTATAGTCTTAACAATAAAAAATAATAAATATGGTCAAATTTTGGCCATTGGGCGAACTAGTTATTAGAATTAGACTAATAGTCTCACGCATTATACACATAAATAAAATTGTAGTATCTGTTTGTAATGCCAAAATAATAGTTTTTTTCTAAATGCATAATATGAAAGTATAAATGGTATTTAGTAGAAAAAAAAACAATTTTACTTTTTTTCTGTCTATCTGTCTGTTTGATCCGGCTAATCTCCGAAACGGGTGGACCGATTTTGACGCGGCTTTCACTGGCAGATAGCTGATTTTATAAGAAGTAACTTAAGCTTACTTTTATTTTGAAAAAAGAATTAGGGTTCTGTGCAGAAAAATTAAAAACCTTCAAATTGTAAACAAAATCAGCGCACCCGAGCAAAGCGAGCGTAAGTCACTAGTCTCCTACATAAAACAAAGGAACAAAAAGATGTAATAATAAATTAAAATTTAATTAGATTTCTCATTTAGACTTCTGTCCGTACAATAAAAAGTCCGATGGAAATCTCTTCACTTATTTTAAAGCTAACCGCGATCAAGACAGAGTACAATTTTTTTGTTTTTATTACAATATTACCTAAGAATTATATATTTTTTTTTCTTTTCTTTTTACAGAAGAGAAGAAGTGAAGTAAAACTAAAAACACTCTGCAAAGATGCCATTATAATTATTATGTATTATCTTTTAAAAAAGTATCTAGTATACTTTTTTAAAAGATATTAGGATTAGATTTTGCTTCACTAAAAAGGTAAAACGACGTTAATTTTACTCAAAGCTAATTAGTATATCTGTTTTATGTTATTGAGATTTTGTTATTCATTATGAGATATTTGAGACAAACCTAAAAAATCCCAAATAGTAAAAAACCGATCATGAAAATGTTGAATAGACAAAGATTTATAATCCATAATAGCAAAAAAACATACAGTTGAATCGAGTACCTCCTTGTTGTCTTCGCTATCAAAAAATCACATTAAATGTCATAAGCGTCTAATGTTATCTGTATAAATGACACTATAAATGAGAAAGTATCTGTTTGATTGTTTGTGTGTACAAATTATCATACCTATGTATATAGTAGGTATATGTCTATCTATTTCATACTAACTAAAACTAAAAATATAGTATATTAAGAAAAGTGTGCAGGCGAAGCCGGAGTATATCACTAGTTAGTACTACTCACACATGTACATACATATAACTTTCAGTAGTACTAAGGCCTATATAGGATGTGGTTATCTAACCATCTGCATAGATTTATAACCGCCTATTACAGTGTTTAACGCATGTACTGTATGGGGGTGATTTAGACTTGCTCTAATTTATGCGCATACGTCTTTTACATTATTACGTTTTTGTTCATTTTCCTGTGAATTTTGTTGGAATGTAAATAAATAAGGATTTATTTGCATTTTAGAAATGTTTTGAGGCAGTTTTTATTCATATAATATAAGAAAATATGTTCAAGAATAATATGAAGATACGTTTGGCTCTGTTTGTAGTGATCCCAACTTACTGTGCCAGCGGTCGCGGGTTCGAGTCTCGCTGGGGACATTCATTTGTGTAATGAGCACGAATGTTCGTACTTCAGTCATGGGTGTCTATATTTATAATATGTATGTATTTAAAGTTATATATGTGTAGTGTCTCAACTATCTGGTATCCATAACACAAGCCTCGTAGCTAACCATGGAACTAGATGTTGTGTGTTAATGTCCCAACATATTTATTTATTATAAGCTGCCATACCGGATATAAGTTTGTTTGTCATAGTATTGGCATAAAAGCTCATAAAGGTTCTATAAAAATTAACAACAAGTGTTTAATCTTCATATTAGCTAGAAAATGATATTTATATTATACAAAATATAGTTTCATTAAAGCTCTATTATCTGGATTTCTTTAAAACAATAAGCTAATGGAAGAGAGTAGGTGTAGAAATGTTTGCTATTTTAGGAGCAATAACTTAGTAACTATTGAATGATAAAAAAAGTAGGCACAACTGTCTTTTAAATACCCGTCTAATTTGATTACGTCTATAGATAAGTATAATAAAACTCTGAGACCAATCTGTACATTAAATATTTTTGGGAAAATCTTATTGAAATAGTTATTATTATCGATACAGAGGTCGAATCTATAGTTTTTAAAATTTTTGTCTGTCTGTTTGTTTGCCTGGGAAAGTATCACGAGAAAACCACTGGACAGATTTTGATGGAATTTGGTATGATGACAACTGGTCATCCGGATCAACTTATAGGATACATTTTATTGCGGGAAAATATCTTATCTGTGAGAAATCTATACTAACCGTTAAAACCCAACTGAGGGCGAAATCGAGCGGAGCGACGGAGAGTCGCTAGTTTTGTTATAAATTCTAAATGAAGTGAGACCTGCTGTTCTTAATTAGCTCTGTTAGAACACTTAGTTTAATTTTAACTTCAGACTTCGTGAAAATCATTACAATATACATTAATTATTACTGAAATATCGATGTTCTATTGACCTTCCAGAATAAGACACTGCTTGTTAGCTGTATAGTGCCAATAATAATATTTTTTCTAATAAGGAGGTTTTCAATACATGGTAAATATTTTAGAATATTTTTTCCAGATTTTAAGGATAATTATACTAATACTAGCGGCTCACCCTCGCTTCGCTTGGGTTTGTCGCTAGGCACATTTTAAATACATATAAATAGTTATTAGGTAGCGTTATCCATATACATTTTTTTTTCTTAATAATATTGAAAATATTGACATTAATATTTATACGATTCTAACGTCACTCAATTGCCATCAATATTTTGCCCACCCGAAACCTCTCCACTAACACTTAAACTTTATGGTATGGTATTAAAGTTTAAATTTTAAGTATTATTACGAATCCTTTGTATGGGAGTATAGAAAAGTGTTGTTTTTAAACTTCTTCAGGTATTTTTTTTAATTTTGTCTCTCCGTAAAAACCATCGTCGTACTTCAAGGAATATTCTAAAAAAAGAATTAGCGAAATCGCTTCAGCTGCTCTCGAGATTTGCGCTTACCAACACATTCAGCGATTCATTTTTATATTATAGATAATAATGCATTCACTCAATGGTTGCTTGTTACTCTTTTAT